ATGTAAGTACAACTCCTCCGGTTTCATATGCAAAAAAAATTATTGCGCTAGCTCACGTGGTTGCAGAGCTACCGGGATTTAAAAATAGTTACGCAAAACGGAGCGTGCCCGCTCTGACCGGTTTTAAAGGGTTAAATACAGCGTTTCAGTTTTTGTCGAAGTGTAGTTATTATCTTTATTTCATTTTGCTCAAAAGCTTTCAGGTTTAGTTAACTAACCTTTCAACTCCCATTCTCTGCACTATTTACTGAATCAACCAGTCTTTTCACTTGAATTTGAAGCAACCTGTACGTCTTATATGATGTTTTTGAAGAAACAAATACAATTGACTAAAGACATTTTGCAAAGTGATGCACAAAGCTAACCACGTGAGCCGGGCGTTTAACACAATGGTACAGGTGTTATATTTTATGCATGGTAGCGCACAATTCAGGCGTCGCTAATCATGTTGATGAAGCACGTTCAGGGTGCGCAGGAAGCAAGGGATGGAAACCGTCTGAGGGGTAGGGGGTGAGAAGAGGAGAGAGACACAATCAATAATTTCAGATGCAGTTTGAATAAAGGTCATAGAGTGTTTGTGCATGGCATGAAAGAAGTAGTGTTTAATGTGAGCCTTGTATGACTTCATGGAAGTAGCCCCCTTTACATTCCTCATTTACTTGAGTTAAGAAAATAAGATTTACTACATGCACTGTTCTGTTTCTCTGCTGCTTCTCTGCCACCATCATAAGTACATCACGCTGAAAAGGGTGGTGGGTGGAGGACAGCCACATGAGGTTGGAAAGTCCTGATTTAAATACCCCGAAGAGTGTTGTAGAGAGTGTGTAATGAATGTCAAGTACTGTTGTTTTGGCTGTGTGTGTGTGACAGAGAGTGTTCTGGCAGCGTTGTGTGGTTTATAGAAGAGATAAAACTGTTTTGATGCGTTTGTGGTTTCCAAAAAGAAAATTAGGTTTGTCTTTACAGTTCTGAGAAAACAGTCAGAGGTTTCAAAAAGAACTTATTTATTCCACATTTGCTGTTGTTTTCAGTTGTGCTGCATGAAGGTGGAGGTGGACATGGAGAAGATTTCTGCAGAGATTGCTGCAGCAGAAGAAGCAGCCCGCAAACGGATGGCAGAACGTGAGAAGGACGCAGGAGATCGAGGTGC